CGATAATAGTTATTTATATTATTAAATGTTAAATATATGATAATAATTTATATGTACATTATCAATTGAAAAATATTCTATAATATGTAATAGTCAGCATGCTAATCTGTATAAATATGATACACGTGTTAAAGTATTAAATTATTTGTGCAAGATATTGTTCAAGAAATTTCACATTTTTTGCTTATCAATATTATCTACATTTTATTTATTTACTTTCATTATTTTATTCAAATTAATTAAATGTTTTATTGTTATAACAGTGAAGATTTGACAACAGCAATCCTTCGAAAGAAGGATAAGCCAAACAGATTATTAGTAGATGAAGCTACTGCTGATGACAATTCTGTTGTGGCTCTTTCACAAGCGAAGATGGATGAGTTACAACTTTTCAGAGGAGATACAGTATTATTGAAAGGAAAAAGGCGCAAAGAAACTGTTTGCATTGTTCTTTCTGATAATTCATGTCCCAATGAAAAAATTCGCATGAACCGTGTTATAAGAAATAACTTACATGTACGCTTAAGTGATGTTGTTTCTGTACAAGCATGTCCAGAAGTTAAATATGGAAAACGCATTCATGTACTACCAATGGACGATACAATAAGTGGTCTTACAGGGTAAATTAATAGTTTTTTTAAAAATATGAATTATTAACTTTTTTCTATCAAAGCATGTTTTTTTAATAATTTTAATACTATCTTTTACATTTGTAATTTATAAACAAATTGAATTTTCCAGTTATGATTATTTTATTATTCTTTCAGTTTTATTACACTTTGCTGTTTCATATTTAATATATTTGACTATCTAAAAACATGCATTCCATAGATTTATCGATACTTTTTAATATACAAAATGTAATTTATACTTATTTTATAAATAACTTTACTATATTTTCAGCTTATGATAAATGACTACATACACATATGTGTTCAATTGATATTCAGGATAAAATTAAATGAATGTTTCTTTTATTCAATTTAAAATAAAAATATACATACAGATCTTTCAAATGTTTCAGACACTGCACGATGTTGTAAAAATAATTTACATTCAGAATTTATCAATTGGAGTAAAAATATTAAAAAAATTAATTGTATTGTTTGTTATTGAGTTAGAAAAGTTTGTGATGTAATTTATTATGATAAACTGTAGAGTATATTTAAGCCTTTTACTTCATTCATTTTATTAAATTCAATTTTTTCTTGTTTCAAATATGACTTTAACAGTTAACAATATTCTTAAAGATTATTCAAGAGAAACATAAAGAGTGCAAATATTTCTGTATTAAGGACATTTTATACATTCATATACATATATCTTTAGACATATGTCTTTATTCTACCATGATGTTCTTTTGTTACTATGTAACATGAAACAAAAATTATTTACGAACTTATTAGGCAGGCTATACTTCCTTCCTTCTTTAGTATTACTATTTGAACTGTCAGAGAGATTATAATATAACATTTATAGTATTGTCAGCACATTTCTTAATAATATGTTTTTATGGTCATTTTTTTTTGTTTCTTCTGAAACTTCTACTTTTCAAAATTTTCTATCTTCAGATTACAATATGTTGACATTAGGTAATTGGAATAACACATTGTGTTACATGTCCTTCAATTTCTTTTTTTGTTTTTTATAGGAATATAGGAAAGAAGATATCAAATTTAATTCAAAAAAGTATCAGTGACTGTGAAATTTAGAAAGAAAAAAAATCTTGAGTATTATTTGAAAGGATTATTTTGTATTAAAAAATGGGATTCAGGGCTATAGGATAGACAGTCCTCACAAAATTAAGTAAAAAATGCTTGATAAACATTGGTGAAAAAGTCAACCTGAACAGAATTAGGAATTTTATTTTACATGTTAGTAATGCAAGTGACTTACCTACTTATGTTTATTGTATGTTTTACAAGCATAAGAGAATGTAGTGAATTCTAGATGTCTATCAAATGTTTCAAGGTGGATCAAACATTTTTGGAAGGGTTTGCAATATTATAACATGAGGATGTGAGGTATATGCAAACATGGAAAGAGAGCAAATAGAATATCTTTTATAAACATCAAAGTAAGAATATGGTGGGATATTACTTCGTTTTCACTTTGTATGTGATGAATAAGAGAAGAAAAATTTCTTACATCACTAATATCAGAAATTACTTCTAACATTGGCAGTGTTAACTATTTGACTTATGTTTATTAAGTATTGTTTTTTACAGCTTGGTAACTATTATCTACCCTATAAGTCCTGCACCTTTATTTAAAAGCACCTTCTGTGCGCTCTTCATAGCAAAGGGGGTAAAAAATATTTATATTTAAACTCGATAATTCACATTATACTACTGCTATTTTATTGTTTTTAATCGTTTATTAAACATTAGTTCTCCTTAGGCATACATAAAGATTATTTCATTTTTTATAGTGTTCATAAAATAATTCATCTTTTGTTACAGAAACTTATTTGAAGTTTACTTAAAACCGTACTTCCTGGAAGCATATCGTCCTGTTCATAAAGATGATAACTTTATTGTACGCGGTGGTATGCGTGTTGTAGAATTTAAAGTAGTGGAAACAGACCCTGGGCCGTTTTGTATTGTAGCTCCTGATACAGTTATTCATTGTGAAGGTGATGCTATTAAGAGGGAGGTTAGTTAGGTATAATTCTTCAATAACTTTTGATTTGTATGTATTGCAATACAAATGTGTTTAAACAATTGTAGGAGGAAGAAGAAGCATTAAATGCTGTAGGTTATGATGATATTGGTGGTGTTCGTAAACAATTAGCTCAAATTAAAGAAATGGTAGAATTACCTTTAAGGCATCCATCTTTATTTAAAGCTATTGGAGTTAAGCCACCTCGCGGTATTCTTTTATATGGCCCACCAGGCACGGGAAAAACTCTTATTGCTCGTGCTGTTGCAAATGAAACTGGAGCATTCTTCTTTCTTATTAATGGTATGTTCACTTTTAGCCTATTATTTTACTTCAAAATATTACTCAATCTTTTATATCAAAAGGTCCTGAAATTATGAGTAAACTTGCTGGAGAATCAGAAAGTAATTTAAGAAAAGCATTTGAAGAAGCAGAAAAGAATTCACCAGCTATAATTTTCATCGACGAACTTGATGCTATTGCTCCAAAAAGAGAAAAGGTTTATATTAATTATTTTACTGTGTTAATTTTATTTTATTAATTTATAATTGTTTGCACAATTAATGTTACGTTTTTAAATTAGACTCATGGAGAAGTAGAGAGACGCATAGTGTCTCAACTGTTAACATTAATGGATGGTATGAAACAAAGTGCCCATGTTATTGTAATGGCTGCTACTAATCGACCTAATAGCATTGATCCAGCATTACGTCGCTTTGGACGTTTTGATAAAGAAATTGATATTGGAATACCTGATGCCACTGGCCGATTGGAAATTTTAAGAATTCATACAAAAAATATGAAGCTTGCAGATGATGTCGAATTAGAAGAGGTTTATATAGATAATTTTAAAGTTATTCGAGCGCTAATTTTAACAATGTTTAATAAATTATTGCAATTATTTAGATCGCAGCAGAAACACATGGGCATGTGGGAGCTGATTTAGCTTCATTGTGCTCTGAAGCAGCATTGCAACAAATTCGTGAAAAAATGGATCTCATCGACTTAGAAGAAGAACACATAGACGCTGAAGTTTTATCTTCCCTTGCTGTTACCATGGATAATTTCAAAGTAAATAATATATCTATATTCAATTTCAATTTAAATTCACAAACTTATAAATAATGTTACATTTGTAATTTAGTTTGCCATGACTAAGAGTAGTCCAAGTGCTCTACGAGAAACTATTGTTGAAGTTCCAAATGTTACATGGGATGATATTGGAGGTTTACAAAATGTTAAATTGGAATTGCAGGAATTAGTACAGGTAAGAAAATGATTAGGTAAATATTAAATGAATATTACATTTATGCAAATAAATCATAAAGTAACTAGTTTCTTTTTATATTACATAGTATCCAGTTGAACATCCAGATAAATTCTTGAAATTCGGTATGCAACCATCAAGAGGTGTATTATTCTATGGGCCACCTGGCTGCGGTAAAACTTTATTGGCTAAAGCAATAGCTAATGAATGTCAAGCAAATTTTATTTCTGTGAAGGGTCCAGAATTGTTAACAATGTGGTTTGGTGAATCTGAAGCTAATGTCAGAGATGTTTTCGATAAAGTAAGTGGTCTGAATGCAAAAAAAAAATAAGGAACAACTATTTCATTTGTTGTTATTAAACTTGTAGGCAAGAGCTGCAGCTCCTTGTGTATTATTCTTTGATGAACTTGATTCTATTGCCAAATCTCGTGGAGGTACGATAGGGGATGCTGGCGGAGCAGCAGACCGTGTAATTAATCAAATTTTAACAGAAATGGATGGTATGGGTGCGAAAAAAAATGTTTTTATTATTGGAGCCACTAATCGTCCTGATATTATTGATCCCGCTATTCTTCGACCTGGTAGGTTAGATCAATTGATTTATATACCATTGCCAGATGAAAAGTCTCGAGAAGCAATTTTCAGAGCCAACCTTCGAAAATCACCTGTAGCGAAGGTAAAGAAAATTAAATTAGCTGTTGCTAACACATATTGCTAATAATATGCGTATTGATAATATTTATATTACAGGATGTAGATTTAAGCTATATAGCTAAAGTAACGCACGGCTTTTCGGGTGCCGATATAACAGAAATTTGTCAACGTGCATGTAAACTTGCTATTAGACAAAGTATTGAAACTGAAATTCGAAGAGAAAAAGAACGTGCTGGTAATCCATCTGCATCTATGGATGTAAGTACTGCATCCTCAACATTATATCTGCATTTTATTTTGAAAAATCATATGATCATATAGTAGTTGACATTTAGAAGTAAAAAGTCTATTTTTATAACAAAATAGACAATTTTTATGTAAAAAGGCATTGACAAACTATTAGAAAGATATAAAACATTGTCAGAGACAATAATAACCGTTATATCTCAAATGAATATGAAAGTAAGCATATTTTAACGTAAGCCAAATAAAAAAAGGCACAAAAAAAAGTGAAAACACTGACAAGCTTAAAAAATTTTAAAAAGATGAGAAGGGATGGATGTGGGGGGGGGGGGGGTCTTTGTTTGTGTTTATTAAGTTGATGCTTATTATTTCGATATATCTTGTTAAAGATGGATGAAGATGATCCTGTACCAGAAATAACTAGAGCTCACTTCGAGGAAGCAATGAGGTTTGCGCGACGTTCAGTGTCTGATAACGATATTCGAAAATATGAAATGTTCGCACAGACGCTTCAGCAATCACGTGGATTTGGCAGTAATTTCAGGTAAAAAAAAAAATAAATGTTATTTATCCGGGTCTTTTCTTAATACTCCCACGTAATATTTTTTTTATACAAATTACTACTTTATTTAATATATCAGTATATGTTTAATTTATGGAAATACATAAGCTAAATTTAAAATCTTCGTAGATTTCCACAAAGTGGAGCAAGTGGCGCTCAAGACACAACACAAGGTGATCAAACCTTCCAAGATGATGGAGATGATGATCTTTACAGCTAAATCTTCTTGTTTGTGTACCTCATTACAGTGAGCATGCGACAAAAGGGCCTGTCTATTCTACAAAAAATACTTTGTGTCTTTAAACACAAATTTTACAGAAAAATAATTCTAAGAAATTGATAATACAAAAATACATAAATCTAATACAATACCGCTATTCTGTGTAAGTATATGCAATTTTACGTATATAATTAGGGTAAATTTTAATTAAACTAAACTAAGGATATCAAGATTTAATAAAAAAGAGAAACTTTTTTTTATATTAGGATTAAACAAAAAAAATGTAAATTTGTGCAAATCGCATCATATTACTAAACATATACATTTATTTAAAAACAAAAAATATTTAATTTCATTCCATGTGTATAAATGAAAAACGAGTAAAATTTTAAAATAAATAATTTCAATGAAATATAATTCATTAGTTACTATCTTGTGTGTGCACAAACTGCCCTAATATAATACGTCATTTGTATATACATTATATAGAATTATATGAATGTTTCATTGTTCATAAGTTTTTCTATGTAATTTTATATTTGAGTTACTTACATAAAAATGTAATTCTGTAACAGTGTTATAATTTTTTTCAACTTTAATTAAAGATAGACTCTTTTGCTACGTTGTCACTGTATTTAATTATATTTTATTGTTCACACTCTGAGATTACAGTAATGTGAGAATTTATGCAATGTCAGTGAAATTATTGGAACTGGTGATGTGTACTGGTGAATTTGCAGTCTGCTTGTAGTAGTAAATTTACTTACAAATTACCAAAGAATTTTTTAAAACCTTTCATTTTAGAATAAAGTGTTAAAATTATTCATTTTTATCGTATTCCTTATAACTTCATAAGTATTTGAACTTTTAAATTAAGCAATTTACATTTCTAGACGTAATTAATTAATCGTTTTATTTGAAGTATACTTTTAAATTATACATTTATTATAATACAGTATAAAACTATTGATAGGTAGAGTTAGTTATTATTAATTTATTTATACAGCACTTACAAATCTTGGTACAAGTTATGAAATACAATGTTTTTTATTATAAACAACTTAAGTTTTCAGCTATACATTTTTCTACGAATGTTTATTAGAATATTTACATAGATATTGAGGGTTAAAATAATTAAACGAAACTGAACCATTTCTTAAATGATACCTGGCATATTAAGATATTTGTCAGGTAGATTGACTTACATAAGGTAACTTTTTATTTAATTTCGCATTGTTTTATTTTCATATTTGTAATTTATAAGTACATTCACATACTACTATTGTAAAATTTTCCAGCCTTTGTTAGTTCTTTAATCGAATTACAAAGATGCATTTCTATAAAACATGAAAGTAAAAATCGAATTAAATACATGTTATACAATGAATAAAGAATATTGTAGTGGAATAATAGTTTATTGTATCAAAATTTATTATTACGTTCGATGATACCATTGTTCTATGAGGCATAACATTTAAAAAAATTGAATGTTTTCACAACTCAAGATTATGTTCCTTTATTCGATTCAATATTGTAATTATATTGATTCGCAAAAAGTTTTATATGCAATTTTCTATATTCCAAAATTTATTATATATGCATATGTACACTGGTTTTTAA